CCGGTGCCATCAGGACTAGAATCGTATAGAATACACACACGCTTACGGTGTTTTACTGAAGTATTGGGTTTACCCATTGGGTATTCATGAATGTAGTCATATATAAATATTAGGATGTATCCAACAGTGTCAACTAATTGAACTATCAATGCATTTTTTGTCTATAGCCTGGTGGCAATTCATCGATTTCAAGATAAAATATTGGAAGTAAAAATTTATATCACACAAGAAGTTTTATGATTTTGATAGACGTGATAAACTGAAAGCTCAACAAGATCACCCATTTTGATAGGATATTTCATCACATCATCAAGGTAGTAAAACTTTACATATATTCTAGTAGCACAGCAACATTACTTATATCATTATCCAAACGCCTCACCCGATGTGGATCATAACGTACATATTTTTGCAGTAATTGACAAAGTAATAATACCAAGCATTCTCAGTGGGTCAGTAGTGCCAACCGAGCGTGTTGGAACAGAAAACCATTGCCATGCAGATAGAGATTGGCAAATTACCTCAACTGCGTGTTATAACTTATTTATGAATATGTATAAATATTTATGAAAATAATACTTCTGTATTATGGTGTGCTGTATTATATTAATTTCGACATTGTAGTAATTACTCTCAGTTACATAAACAGTGTCTCCACTTAATGGAATGACATACGATTGTGTACCTTAGAATACAAGAACACACTGTTTCTTGAAACATTAGTGAATTTGTGAATGACTATTAAACATAATTCATGATATCTCGCCCAACAATAAAATTTCAATTCCTTAGTATACAAATATAAATTGTACATGATAATGGTCGTTTTACGAAAACCTGATAACATCCCGAATAATTTGTGACTCATTAATATACACACCAAAAGTCAGGTCCATAGTCGGTCTACTCCCATTTGTGAGAACTCCCAATTGTGAGACTCCCAGTTATGAGACAGTGGAGTAGGTAATTAACAAAGAAAACACACCATACTCCCCTGTCTGATAGAATGGATTAACCCTAGCTAATTACTGATTTGCTATGTAACTGAATCTTGTGGAAGTCTTAATGGAACGTTATAAGATAAATTGATTAAGATACACTTTGTGTAGGTAACTTCGTGATCATTTGAAAGAGAAATTAATTTACCTACTCAGATTTACATCCGTCCTCGAAACTACAAGATATAGTTTAAGAAATAACTCTGAAATACAAGTTTACAGTCGAACTGCCTCTTATGCCAAATACTGTTTTTACCCGGCACTACCCGTTATAACCTTGATACCTTTTTGAACGGAAACAAAGAATTTACTCCTTGTGTAAACCAGAAAATAGTTGAATCTGTCCACGATTAATTAATTATGACTACTTAGAGAATCGTTGTATTTGATGTATACTTAAAAATATATTTGTGCAATAGTCAATATCGATGACGTCACATCCTCCATTTCATTTTGTATTTTATGTTGCATGGGAGCGGTGTTAACATAAGCAGTAATGCTTGCTCACCAATCCCAATTCATTTTCATAAATAATAATAAAATATGTTTAAACCAAAATGACTTTCAAACTTCATAGTCTATTTCTTCTGTGTAATTAGAATCTTTGATAATCTATTTCATTAATCTACTCATCAATGACTCCTGTGGGTACTCTTCAACAACTGGGCTGATCCCACTTTCATTGTAGGGATGTGGAAACACCACCCATGTGCACTGAACCATTATTTAATGTGTCTCACAACTGGGAGTTCTCACAAATGGGAGGACACCCTTATAGTCCATAGGAAATCCCTAATACACCAACCGGTCATGGAATGATATACGATTGTGTACCTATTAATGCAAGTACACACTGTTTCTTAAAACATTACTGAATTTGTGAATTATTATGAAACATAAATCATGATATCTCGCCCAACAATAAAATGTCAATTTCTTAGTATAAAGATATATATTGTACATGAAAATGGTCTTTTTACGAAAACTTGATAACGTCCCGAATGAATTGTGAATCATTAATATAAACGTCATGTCCATAGTCCATATGAAATACCTAGCACACCAATCTGACAGACTCTGCTTTTAGCACATATTTGCTATGAGGATGGAAAGGGATTTGTTCCTTTAATTGATTCAGCTAAGCATTTTCATCAGACGAAACACATACGAAAAGAAATCGTTATTTCTGTATAAACGGGCATTTGATTATACACGTGAAACATATGTCAACGTCACGAACATCAGAACCTTCCGTTAGTTATTTTGTATGTAAATAGACGGTAGCAACTGTACCCAGGCCCTCAAGAAAGTCCAGATCGTAATCCCATTACATTGGGGCATTATGGGTCGCAGGATTCGCCAGAGAGATCCTCCACACGTCTCCATGTGACACTCAAACTGACTTTCCTCGAGTTGGTGCCAACGACGGATAGGTCTGCATTCCCAGTGTGCAATTTCGTTATATTTCATTGACTCATAAAGCCTACAAAATGTTTCAAAATAAACAAAAAAATACAGTTCAAAATCCTCCAGTGCAAATTCTTAATGTACTGGAATACGCTCTCCACCAAGCATGGCACGCAATACCTCAGCATCAAATTCAATGTCTGATACGCTAAATGAAGAGGAAGGTCAAGTATGTTATTGCAATGGTGGAGGTTACACCAGGTATCGACATTGTGCCGGCTTTCTGTTACTTATGTGATTTCTTGAGGATTTTATGCAGGAATCCTAAAATGACCGCACGCCATACTACCATAGTTATCAACAATACAACATGAGTTAATTACTGGCAATGTTTGCGTCTCTAAATAAACTACACTTTTTCGTTCTTTTAGCGTTTATATTTGCCATGTAGAGGGTCATATATGTACATAGTTATATCATATATCCACATAGTTATATTGAGGTTTAGATAAGTTGCTTTCAACGTTGAATGGTAACGTATTGATACCATAGAAACCACTGGGTGTTGCGAATCATTTTTCCATGTTCACAGTGTATATAACAAATCATGGACGGACTGTATTTCCTAAGAAACATCAAGGCTTAGAAAGTGTTGATATCAATATGGTCTCCATGTCGTATTTGTGGAAAAATGAAGACGAACTAGAATCCAGCCCACATTATTCAAGGTTCCATTATTCATTATGATACCTACATTCTGAAAAGGTAACAATCAGACAACCTGCGGATCCTAGGATTATCAAAGGCTCTGGTACTGTACAGATTAAAGCTGAGCAGTAATTTCCTATAATGGCCGTCACCTTTGACAGACATTTCATTTGGTAGCCCCTTAGGATTTGTAAAGATCCATCTTTTCATACCTGTAGAGGTTATCATAAAACGACAAAACAATGTGACGATGTTCTTATATCAGTAAGTACATCCTTATGAATACTTCCAAGAAAGTCAGATCCTTTCATATAAATATAGCTAATCTTGCATGCCATGATAGATTAACGAAACTAATATGAAAAGGTCGCATGTTCTTTTCAGTAGTATATTATTTACGTGAACACCTACTGCATAGCGTTCCAATACACAATGTATTTGATATCATCCTTGCATTCACGTTCATGTATGTGATTGACAAATAACAGCAATAACTTTGATGAAATCTATTTGAATGACTTTGTCTGGCCAGCAATTCCCACAATTGCTGGTGCATAGACATTTTGGTGGCGCGGTGGGCGAGCTGGCTAAAGCGCCAGGCTAGTGATCCAGCGAGCTTGCGGTGCCATGATCGAGCCCACCTGTGACCGGTTGTAAAAACCTTGGAGTCAACTTTGTGTGCAGACTCTTTCAGTGTTGTCACAACCTCTAGTGTATGGTACACAACCCTGCCCACTTACAAGAACCCACGAATCCGTTGGTATATGACCAAATGGTGGCCACATGTATACGTGCAAACACCTAGTTGCGGGTACAGCAACGTGCAGTAAACTTGGACAAGGTACTGTGACCATGTGTGCCAGTCCACCCAGCTGTGAATGGGTACCTCGTAAGGAAAGCCGTAAAACTCGGAGCGCTTAGTGGCTGCAAGATTTGTATGATCCCTGGGGAGTTGAAATTGATAATATGATGTGCCGTTGAGATTGACATGCAGTGATCGAGGGAAATACCAGCGCCTTGAGCATGTACTAGTTACGTGGATATGTGCGCTATATAAATATCATATAATAATAAAGTAATAATAATTTATCATTTCATTTTGGACCAAACAGGAAGTGTCTGAAAAACATTTCTTCTTCTTAAAACTTATCTGTATGTTTGCTAGTACTTTTGACTTTGTTGTGACAAACGATTTCATAGATTATCAACCAGATGAAATTAACTGGTTATTTTCATCAGTCCTCGTTGTGTGGACATCGTTTCCGAAGTGGGTGACGTTATCGTAATAATAGCTTACGTCAACGTCGTCCTTGATACCAATAGATAGAGGTCAATCGTGTTCATCACATCATTTGACAAAGCAATACTGAACTCATGAAAAAGACGCTCCATGATTCAGGAATATTAGGTCTCAACCTCAATATATAATCCCTATTAAACAAGCATAATTATACAGTGTTTTCCATCTCTATTTTCAAGACAAAGGCGGTGAGTTATGTGGCTGTCCTTTGTACATTGTTAAGGCATCGTCCTAAAGAGATGGCCACATGACTATCAGAAAGTAATGACTCTTGCTTGACAACGGTATAAGAATCTGTACCAAAACGTCGCATCATATATAATAAAGAAGTTGTTATCCATAACGTATCTCACTTTCATATTACTCACCAACTTCTAAAATGCAAATCAAACAGATCACATCAATATCATAGAAGCGTGACGCAATTTAGTAGTCTTCCAACGGCCATGGTTGGATAACTTCCCATGGCCTTTCTTGTACAGGAGTTCATGGACTGTGATGTGGATAATTACTGATGCTATCATCAACTGTTTTCGTGTTGCAAAATGCCAAGATATGCCCTCCGAAATCACAAAATCACAAATTTCTTTGGATGATCATCTTTTATTTATCTACACAAGTCATTACAAAACGACCGAATATCCCATAGTGCGTGTTCGTCTTGTTCCGGTCAGCTGAAACATAACAGTCATACTCAATCAGGGAATATACATACACCTGTACAGTTAACTAAATATTTATTTCTTAAATGATACAGTCTACATACCAATAAACATTTCTGCATTTTAAGTTTCGTAAAAGTCTTCATGTGCTTAGACCTGCTGGAAATCGTTCACAATCAAAAACGATCTTTACCAAAAACATTATAATAAAAGGTTGTGACAATTGTAAATTGATTATGTCCTAAACTATGAATGAAACAATAATGGAAGATATGAGTCCATACACGACGCATCTTGTATTCAGTGACCTACCCTTAATGTCAATCGTTCTTCTAGGCGAAGGCACAGGCACCGATGACAGTTCCGTCCGGGCATTTGTAAGCTTCACAAGCGACCGTGCTTGCATCAGACTGAACAGAGTAACAGAGAGCTTCCACTTTAGAAATCATTTGACGTAGAGTGAACTTGGGACCTACTTGGGACCCAGTTTGGATACCTTGGCGTAAGACAGTAATATACTTTTGAATATTTACTTTAAGCTTCATTGCACATTCATATAAACACTCCATGTAGGGATTCGTTGACAAAAACATTTAGCTTATATTCTCATGAATGTAGCTTTGCCATGCAAAATGATGCCATAAGTTCCAATTAGAAGTACACTGAGTGAACAACGGTTTGAACAATATTTCAGTTAAAAGCAGCGAACCGGGGTAAAAGTGTTTGAAAAGAAGAAGCCCCTTGGTCAAATAATGTACCCACTGGATGAAATATTATCTAAACACCGACATGAATTATCAAATAGACCACGCTGATGATCACTGGATTGTTTGGTCAAGATTCGATTATTTACAGACCGCCTCCACATAGCTGAAATATTGCTGAGTGCGGCGTTACACAAGAACCAAACAAATATACCGGGCAATTATTCACTTATAAGGAAGTGGCAGTAAGGAGTGAGTGGGTGAGTTTAGTTTTACGCTGCACTCAGCAATATTCCAGCTATATGGCGGCGGTCTGTAAATAACCGAGTCTGGACCAGACAATCCAGGTATCAACAGCATGAGCATCGATCTACGCAATTGGGATGCGATGACATGTGTCAACCAAGTCAGCGAGCCTCTTACGACAAGCATGCTTTACTGAAGATTAATATTCTAACCCGGACCTTCACGGGCTAGCGGTAGTAAGGGCGTTGCCTTTAATGTAAATAGGGACTTCATGCAGTCAAACTGAAACCACTTTACATTTGGAAAGAATACTTACCAGTTCAGCACCCAGTTTGGATGCAAATGCGAGAGCATCATCAGCCGAATCCCCAGCTTCAGCGTAGGAAACTCCACCGAGTGTAGTGACCATTCCAGTGTCGCATGACTCAGCCATACCCTCAGCATCTCGGTAAAGGGTTGCTCCACCAGCGCTCTGCGGGCAAATAGATACATTTGCAGGAGAACTAGATTAAATGCGACCAAGTGAGGGCAAATAGTAAACAAAAGCGATCCTTTCCAGATCCATGAGTGACATCAGCTTAAAGCATAATCAATTTTTTTTCAATTCCGACTATATCATGTGCTTGTGTTATGCATCACTGTCAAATATTCATGATACCAGGTCTTCGCGAAATGGTGAGCGTACCCTGGCTCACAGGTAACACCCATCATAAGCATAATATTATGCAAAGGCTAATCAATCGTTCACCTGAGGAAATCGGGAACATGCGATGTTGTGCATATTAATAATAAAGAAGTTGTATATCAATAATAAAGAAGTAGTATATCAATAATAAAGAAGTTGTATATCAATAATAAAGAAGTTGTATACCAATAATAAAGAAGTTGTATATCAATAATAAAGAAGTTGTATACCAATAATAAAGAAGTTGTATACCAATAATAAAGAAGTTGTATATCAAGAATAAAGAAGTTGTACAACAATAATAAAGAAGTTGTATATCAAGAATAAAGAAGTTGTACAACAATAATAAAGAAGTTGTATACCAATAATAAAGAAGTTGTATATCAGTAATAAAGAAGTTGTACAACAATAATAAAGAAGTTGTATATCAAGAATAAAGAAGTTGTATATCAGTAATAAAGAAGTTGTACAACAACAATAAAGAAGTTGTATATCAAGAATAAAGAAGTTGTATATCAATAATAAAGAAGTTGTATATCAATAATAAAGAAGTTGTATATCAATAATAAAGAAGTTGTATATCAATAATAAAGAAATTGTATATCAATAATAAAGAAGTTGTATATCTATAGAACTCTCCCCGTTGTTCATATATTGTTGAGTTGTTGGAAAGTTGACTATTGAAAAGTTGAAATGATTCCCCGTTTCATACAACCTTGTGGAGAAGATTTTTGTGACACTGAATCTAAAACATGCGGTCTCATGTGTCTTCTTTATTTCAAGTTCAGGTGAGTAAAAACAGTGAAAGGCAGCTGTATGTGTGAAAGTTTTGGAACGATATTAGATCACTGACAAACATAAAGGCTATTTGTGCTGACGGGGATCGATGCCCACTTCTTGTCTAAATGTTTTACTTCCAAAGCTTATCTTAACCTGACCATCCAGGATGCGTCTTTTAAACGGAAGCAACCCCACATCAAACGTATCACTCAAACGTTGAGGAAACGGAAACTGACTATATATAATGTACATAATATAAAGACCGATATGTCTTGGAGTTCAATATGTTGAAGATAAGAGTGTTTTTAAGGTGGGGTTTAAATTTTAAATGAATTATGGTAAACAAACAACAATCAAAGACTTACAAGATTCGGGTTCCCGCTTGCCTTAATCACAGCCTTGGTGAGAGAATCCCTCCTTGCGGATACCATGACAACAACGGCCAGGACGAAAACAACACAGGTGATTCTCAGCATTTTGATTCTGTCGGGGCTGAAAAGAAAATTGCTGAATGAATGGCAAATCATAAATCAAACACATATTTTCACGATGTTAACGGCTTTTCTATCGACATCTTATCGTTATCTTATTGTGGAAATTTAAAAAGTACAGACTATTTTTCTAATGAAACAAACCGAAACTTGAATAGCATGTAAGAGTATACATGAGCTGCTCAAGGATTTAGAAACGGAAGCCAGCAAATTCGTTTCCTTTCACTTACAACTGTAGATATGCATCATATTCAGAACAGTGCTTATCATCTTCCTAGACGTGCATTACAATGACTTTGCTACTATATAAAAATCACACCCAGTGGTTCAACTGAAATGGTGATACACCTAACTCAGCAGTAACTGAAATTTATCCAGCACTCTTTGACAACAATAGTAGTATATTGGGAATTTGTAGTTTCAAGCATTCAAGCAAACCAAAGCATGACGAGAAACAGATCTACAAAAGACAATATATAGTTGTACTCACATGGAGATGTTGCTGACTGCGAAGACGTTGTGAGATCTTGTGATGCAGAATGGACTGCAAGGGGGTCTTATATACACTTGTCCGATGACAACGATATGATTCTCTATTGCACATCCCCAATTACACGTGCAAATCGGTACGTAGGATCAAAATGCTTTGACACTCCGGTGGGCGAAAAAGAGCAATTAACTTCGCAGAAAAGGCAGAAATTGTCTGCAAAGGTAATTTGTACAAACATGTAATCGAAAGAAAGTAGTATCATTGCAAACACTGCATATATTGGTACATTTTGAAAAGGTCTATCAGGATTGTCCTTAATGCAACAATTGATGCAAAGTATGTCATGAATGTTTAATCATCGATTGATGTCGCCAAACTGAATACTGATAGCTGAGGGCCAGGTTGTCGTTACACGAACTGGTAAGATGTAAGTAACTGTATGTGAATGTATGACATATATGTACGTACAAGTGGAACGAAGCCTAAGAAAGGGTTTATCTAAAATGAATTCGAAATATTTCTGAAATGTTTGGATTTCTCCAGTCGTCTAATTACAAAGCACATAATCTGCAGAATGTTAAAAATGGTCAGCAAATGCACTACAGATTTGTGGGTTTGTTTGAGACAATGAATTAAGGCCGCAGTCATCGTGGTTTTGTTTGTTTGTCTATTTCAGTAATGAAATCCATTTTAGAGAAATCATGACCTCCATTGACTTAAGATTAGCGGAGTCTGTCAGATATGTTTTCTCTCATAATCAGCAATGCATATCAAATATGTTCTAGGGGCGGTGGGATAGCCTAGTGGTTAAAGCGTTCGCTCGTCACGCCGAAGGCCCGGGTTCGATTCCCCACATGGGTACAATTTATGACGCCCATTTCTGGTGTCCCAGAATGCTGGAATATTGCTAAAAAACGGCGTCAAACACTACTCAGTCAGTCAGTGAGACACATGTTCAAACTTATCTAATCAACAGCATTCTGAGCATCAAATAAATAAAAATTGCAGAAAGTTACTTAAAGGTGCAGCTGGAATCGTATCGAATACACACACGCTCGTGTATTGGGTTTACAAATTGGCTATTCATAAGTGTTTCCATGTATAGATATTGGGATGTATCAAGCAGTGTGTCAACTAATCGAACTATCGATGCATTTTTATTGTCCGCCATATAGCTGGAATATTGCTGAGTGCGGCGTAAAACTAAACTCACTCACTCATTTTTATTGTCTACAGCTGGTGGCAATTCCTCGATATTGGAAATGAAATTATATACGACACTAGAGGCTTAATAATTTTGATGGATGTGATAAACTGAAAACCCGTTTTACAGGGTATGTAATCGCCTCATCAATGTATTAAATAGCTTTACATATATACAGCAACAACACATTTATAATAGTTAAAGGCCACACAATACCTAGGAAATAACGTAGTAGTATATTGTTTTTGAAAAATTAATAAATAAATATTTTGGGTGGCAAACAAGTCTTCTTTTCCCACGACACATTACATATAATTTAGTTTAATTATTAGAAACATTAATCATGGCCAAATTTAGGAAATTATGAAACATTTGATGGAATGATGGGGTGGGGACAGGGTGGGGTGGGGTGGGGTAGCTTAGTGGTTAATGCGTTCGCTCGTCACGCTGAAGGCCCGGGTTCGAATCCCCTCATGGGTACAATGTGTGAAGCCCATTTCTGGTGTCCCCCGCCGTGATATTGCTGGAGTATTGCTAAGAGCGGCGTAAAACTAAACTCACTCACTCATTAAAGAAGACCAGATTCCTTCATATGACTGTTGTCAATCTTCCATGCCATGATATGTTATTATAAATACCAGTATGATGAATTCGCACGTTTTTTTTCAGTAGTATATTATCCCACGTTACTGCACAGAATTCCAATGCACAATGTATTCAGTATCATCCTCATATTCACGTCCATGCATGTGACTGACGGATGTCAGCAATGAATTTAATGAAATCTAGTTAAATGACTTTATCTGGCAGGCAATAACCCACAATGCTTATGAACAATTACCATTTCATTTTGGACCTAAAAGGAAGGAGGGACCTGGAAAAAAATTAGTCTTCGAATTGTTTTTCTGTCTTTTCAGAAGGCTGAACTTTGTTGTGACAAATATTGTAGTGTATCAACACGATGTACTGTTTATATTCATCAGTTCTCGTTGTATGAACGTCCGAAGTGTGTGATGTCATCGTAATAAAACCTAAGGTCATAGTCTTTCACCAGTAGATAAAGAGGTCGTGTGACAAAGCAATACTGAATTCATGAAAAAGACGCACCATGATCCATGAATATTTGATCTCAACCTCAATTCATTATTCCCATTGAGCAATCATACTTCTTCGGAGTTTTATTTACAATGATGTAAGTTACATTTGGCACACTATAACAGTCAATACCAAATAAAGAAGAACTCGCACGTGGAAAGGCCAACACAATCAATTTGAAGATTAAAAAAATAATAACCACCTCAGTTTGACATAACGGAATCTGTGTTCCTTTTTTTCCACCTTTTAATTGATTATTGCGACACATAGTGACACATATCCATTGTAACATTCACGATCTATTAACCATACACGACAAAACTGTGAAGGAAAAAGTACAATCATTGCGACACGCATCAAAAAGTGTTACTATCTTTTCTGCAGCACCGAAAACATGCATGTGGCATTTCGAAGAAATATATTCTGATCTGATTAATTCCAAAAAGGTGCTTAACATTCCAATTTCGTATTTCGCGAGCTCGTTAGGTATAATATAGATTATCAATGGACGACATGATGAGTGCATTTGCAATGGTGATTACGTATAACTGATATGATTAATCAGTCCTTAAGGTATATTAGAATAGTTAGATATGATTGGAAGATAAATAGGTATATTTCTTATATCTGCCTAATCTGCAATTACCGAAAAATGCCTCAATATACATAATTGGGGTATCTGAGAATTTTTTCTGATAATTCAATCATAAAACATTATTTAAAAAACAACGCAAATCTTATATACCCTGGATACCGTTAGTGAGTGAGTGAGTGAGTGAGTGAGTGAGTGAAGAGTTTTAGTCACATCGACAGTATCGTGATTATAACACCTAACACTCTCATAAAACATAAAATTAATACTCATTTCGACAAACGACGGTACAACAACTAAAATATCACATATGTAGATTTTAAAAAAAGCGTATAACCCCTAAAAGTAGTTCACTATTTAAGACTGTACAATACAGTAGAACACGGATATAACGTATAACAATGGGATATAGATTTCCAGCAACTGAAAGGTAGATCACCATATTAGGGACTTACAGTACTTTAATTACATACTGCATGGACCCCACTGGATATACACCATCCCTTCGGTCACTGGAGACGGGAAGCAAGTTTAGTCCAAATTGAAATGACAACTATTCTGCGTCTAAACAAGTGGTAGATACCATATTCAGACACCGTTACAATTTCATTTTAACTATGAGCATGGAACACTATATAGTTGGTTACATTTCCGCGTGTGTATTGTTTGTTTGCTTGGCCTGTACAATATAGAGTGAGGTTGGTTGGTTGTTCAACGGGGCACTCAGCAATAATCCAGCTATATGGCGGCGGTCTATAAATAATCGAGTCTGGACCAGACAATCCAGTGATCAGCATCATGAAAATCGATATGCGCAACTGGGATACGATGACATGTGTCAAACAAGTCAGCGAGCCTGACCACCCGATCCCGTTAATCGCCTCTTACGACAAACATGGGTTACTGAAGACCAATTCTAACCCGGATCTTCACGGGTATCGAGTGAGGGAAGGACTGTACTGTGATAGATAGTGTGACAACCATCAGGACACTGTGGCACCGAACCTGCCTGTATGAAATATATCGTGTTCAGTTATTCGCGTTTAATTTACTGAATTTACTGCTTTATGGCATAATTTCAGAATCCCAGCAACTATTTTACTTCGTCAGAAAACCACTCACTATTCAGTGTTGAGACAGACTTTCTAAGTGTGTGTAGGCACAACATATACTAGGCAGCAAAAGAAACGTCAGTTTGGAATTTTCCTTCTCAGAAACGGATAACTGTAAACTCATTTAATGTTTTGATTGTATATTTTTGACAACATCTCCAACTTCCCAGGTAATGGTCTCAAAAACGCAACCTGATCTCGGTTATGGTACGGTGTTCTCCACGTTTTTCATGCAACTCATGCTGCACGTGCTATTCACAAGGACCAGCCCTATAAAATGCTGGTTGAAACATTCACATTACAACGTCAGCAGGATGCCGCAACTCACGACAGCTCAGAGGAACCAGGCGCTAGGAAGACTTGAAGGTGGCCACACTGCACAAGCCGTTGCCAATCACTTCCAGGTCAAGATTCGGACCATCTACAGGCTGCAGCAACGTTTCCCGCGCCACTAACACCACAAATGATCGCCCCCGTACTGGCAGACCAAGGGTGACCACAAGACGACAAGACCACCATGTTCTGCGACAGCATGTACAGAATCCCTTCATGTAGGCATCTAAAACAGCACGCCAGACAGTGGGAACACACGGAAGACCAATCAGTACTGATACAGTACGCCAACGTCTTAACAGCGGGAACCTCCATTGCCGTAGACCTTACCGTGGACCTATCCTCACCCCTCGTCATCGGCGTGAACGTCTACAGTTTGCCCTACAACACCCAAACTGGCGCTACAGGCAATGGAGAACTGTTCTGTTCACAGATGAGTCGGTACTGGATATCAACTGCAGACCAAGCTCTCAGACCCCACGTCATACCACATTCCGCACGTCACCGGAACAACATTTTCCAGCATGATAACGCGCGGGCCCATACTGCCAGAGCTACACGGGACTTCCTACAGCAGATCGGTGTCAACATTATGCAGTGGCCAGGCCTTAGTCCTGATTTAAACCCAATTGAACATCTTTGGGATTAAATTCAGAGGAGACTGAATAATGTCATACCAAGGCCAAAGACAGCCGATTTATTGCGCCAGGCCTTTCTCAGAGTGTGGTTCAAGGTGTCAATGGCCTTCATCAA